GATGTCAATCAAGACACTGTAGACTGTCCTGAGGTCATTTTCGCAAAGCATGGCTGGACACCTCTGCTTTGTGTTGTAATTTAGGCAGTTTTCCTGCAGGCTGAGACATTGGTTTGAAGAAGGGAAGGCACCTTCTGATAACTCTCAGGAAAACATGGGCCCTTGAGGATAGAGTTAAAAACCTGTGCCTTTGTTTCCCTGTTTGCTAGCTGGAGAGGCTCTCTGTTACTCTCAGCAGTACACAGAGTGGATTTCCTGTAGCCATCCCCTGCACAGTGCCTAGTAGGGGCCCAGCATCACTAGACTGGGTGCTGACTTTCTAAACGCATCTCTCCAGTGCCACTTCTGAATTGCTTTCTGGATGTAGACTTTTGCTCTTTCTAATAGGTATAGATTTCAGTCCTTCCTTCCAGGACTTAAAAGGTATCCAAAAGATCTCAGGCTATTTTTTTAAGGATTTGAGTGCTGTCATCAAAACCATAATGAATTGCCAAACCATTTTCAACGGTTTCCAAATGTAAGTCTAGCCTCAGGTCTTAAATCCTATGAAAGAAAGGCATTTGTGTCAAGTTTAGCATTTCCTGGGTCAGAAGTATCCCTGGTTCTTTCTGCCTCTGGCACTGATTTCTAGAAATTGAGAAATGTGTGAAGCTCAAAACTAGCTGTATTTTCCCTTGATTTTGCTTTTCTTATGGCATATTTCTTCCTTATATCAGCTTGAAATTAATAAACATTCAGGAAATATTTATTCTGTTGTATTTGGTGAAGTTTTTTAACTGTAACTTTCCTGCCAGCACTCTAACAGTGCAATGTTCACCTAGCAAAGAGACTTAGATCACTATATGCTAAAAAGTACATTTTTTGAAGGAGTGGGGGCATTTGCTTCAGTTTCCTAGGCAAATTCTGACACACGTAGTTACATTCTGCCTGCTGCATTCCTCTGCCACTTCAATTGGATATGGTGTTCTTCCTCAGTTTGTTCCCTACACTTTTGCATAGCATTATCAACTACTGTTAAATATTTGCTGTCCGCCATCCCATCAGTGACTTCACTATAAAGGCAGTGATTAAGGTAAGCCACTGGACAGGTAAAAATTAGCAGCATATTCTCATGCAATTTACCATCTAAAATACTTATTAGTCCAAAACTTCCAAAGGAAAGTGTTTTTAACCATGACTAGGTAGTACAATAACTTATAAATCAGCAACATAATACATGTGGTTGCTTTCAAATGAAGAATGTTTGATGGTGACTTTGGTACAGCAATATAAGAGGATCACTGTGGGCCACGTGTACTGGTACCTTCAAACTGTGACCACTGTTTTACAACAGAAGCTGACAAGTTACATTAATGGATGAATTAGAGTGTGTTTGCTGTAAGTAGTGGAAGAGAACAATCAGGACTATCCAACCCACAGGTAAAATCTGGAGACGGAGAGATGAGGGCTACTCTCTTGGTATTCTCACATAGGTATGAGCTGTTCAGGTACGAGTTGAAACAGCCCAATACATGATCACTAGATAATTCCAGGGAACTTTTCCAATTCTCCCTGATAATCACAGCATTTCAGAGCTCCCTGACAGAAGTAAGAGTTTTTTCCTCACATTTCAGCACATTCATTCAGTAATGGCAGAATTGGACATGTGAAGCTAGTGTTTGCATACAAATTTTAGCTTTTCTTTAATTTCACCATGTTACAGAAGAAAATATCCCTTATTTTGCATGGTCCTTTTCCTGGCAACTCTCAGCCTTTAGCACATTCGGTGTAGTGAACCGAAAGTACTGCTACTTGCTTCCCCTGAAATTATACCAATTTATTTGATTTCATCCACTGAGACTATTATACCCAGTATTATACCCTGTATGTTGCTGAGAGGGACACCAGACCCAGTGATCATGTAGAAGTTCTTGGGTGAAGGCTAGGGCTGTGCTGCCTTCCAGGACCACTGGCAGGCTGGCTGCAAGGTCAAGGTAAACCTGGGGAAAGCCACTCCCCAAGATCTGAAGTGAAAAAACTTGGAATCTTTGAGAAGGAGGAGAGATTTTATGGGAAGGGAAGGAAGGCAAGGCAAGGCAAGGCAAGGCAAGGCAAGAATATTTTCTTCTGGGTGCTGTAGTTATGGAGGAGCTGCTGAATATGTCAAGAATTTACAGCTCAGATGCAGGAAATTCAGCTGAGTGAACCCATATGACCTGACATGGGTGCTGGAAGACTAAAATAATGAAGGATCTGACCTTATTCTGAGAGTTTCCTATAGTGGAGATTTCTTTGGTAGTTCTGAAATGTAGTGGTCTGTTGTCATTCAGTCGAGCAGTAATGGCACAACTGGGAAGCAGTGGAAAAGCTCACATTGCAGTGAGAACTGTAGCCTTTGGTCTTGTCTTTATTCCCCTACCAGTTTTCAGGTTTGTTTAACAGCTGGTTTATTTTGATTCATATCTGATACCATTATGCTGCCAGATTTATGTTTCATTGATGTAAATGGTTATTGTTTCTCCATGCCAGGAAAGAAACAGTGGCAGACATTGGCCTACACTTCCATAAGGGAGTCAGGCAAGGGAGGGACGGAAGGGTGCCTTGAGAGTAGAGAAAGGGAGGGACTCCAAGTCTGAACCATCCACACTTTGAAAGAAAACAGAATTCTGACTATTTTCAACTAAAAAATTTAATTGCCTCTAAATCTTAAAGGAAGCTAGTTACCAGCTCAGATGGTGGATGCTTACAGATACTCCAGCCCTCCTGATAATTTTCTTTCCTTCTTCTTTTTTGTTTTTCCGGAAGGAGATGCCAGAGCTTCTCAGTACAGTAAGGACTTCAGAAACCTACTCAAGCAATGGTTTTTGAACAGAGAACTGTAGGACAGAATATTTTTCTGAAGTACATATTCAGTTCAGAAATGTTTATGACTTTTTTTGCTTAATCTCTTCAATTTGCACATATATTCTGCTACTTTGAAGTGAGCAGAGCAAATGTTCTGCTTCTTGGAACATTTTTGTGTACTTACATGGTGCAGGAAAAACAGAGAAAAAGTTAATGAATAAATATTTTTGCTTGTTTTCTTGAGATGCACCATAACTACACAGCAAACATTCTAAGTTTTTAAAACTTAGGAGCTTGCTGAACTTTGTCTACATGTCCCTAGTTTTTTATTGTTTCTTGTAAGATGTTTGCACTAATGGATTTCACAGCTGCATTGGTTCACATTTGCTTCATGTCTCATATATCAAATGTCTTTTCAATTTTTCTCACTTGTGCATTATAGAAATGTCTGATAACTACTGTTGTCTCTTGCTTGACAAACACCTGGAAAGCGATACTATTTGTTTCATGAAGGAAGGTTGTTTTGATCAAGAAACCAAGGAGTAGCTCTCTTTTTTTGTTGTTTTCGCATTTAGTACTGATGAAAAGAACATTCACTTTTTTGGCAACCAAAAGTGGTTTTTGTCCTTTTCAATGCTTATTTTTCCCTGGTGGACTTGCCCTGTTTTTGTTTGGTTGTATTTTTACATACATAGAGATAGAGGCTGGTAATCTTTTATAAGATTTGAAATCAGGAAATTTGAAACCAGGAGTAAGTTCCCTGTTTTTTGGTTTCCTTTTCAGAGGACACCTCTAACAATGAGGTCTTTAGACCTTCATCACACCCTTGAAAGTCCCTAAGGCTACAGAGTCCGTGGGCACTGCCCAGCGCAACAGACCAGAAGGTTCCTCTTTCTCTTAAGGTTGCACTGGGAGTGGAAATGTCAACAAAGATGTGTGCAGAAAGTAGTAGAATAGACAGTATTTCAACAGAAGAACATGATGTAAATCAGTAAAGACCTCAGACCCTACAAGGTGACAGTGATGTTGTGATCATCAGTTGTGATTAGCAGAAAGAAGCACAAAGCTGTTCCCCAGTGACACCAGCAGAAGCCCAAAATTGTAGCACTAGCAGGCCAGCAGGCATGAAGCTTGTGCCACAGCAGAGGCTGAGGATACTTGTTGTTGGCTGGCACTTCCGGGGTGCTGGGAAAATCCATAGTGGCTGTCAGTGCCTGATGTCAGGCCACATGAGGGGAAGTGAAGGCTGGAGAGTGAGGGGAGATCCTGAGGCAGGACCTCCAAGGGCAACTGGCCAACCCCTGCCCGGGAGAGGAGCCTCTACTTCATCCTTCACCTTCTGACAGTGCTCCAATATGGAGGCAAAGGAAAACAAAAATGTAGCTGCTTTGCTAGCAAAGAATTGAGAACTGCTTGACTGGAGCTCAAGAGGGGAAAGAGAGAAGTGTCTTAAAAAGCGACGTGTGTGAATATTTTTCCTGTCAGTGTAGCATTTCTTCTTTTGAGAGGGAAATGTCAAGCCCACAGGTTTCATGAGCAAGGGAAAAGGCCACTCAGATTTCCTGGTCAGACTTGAGTCTCCTGTTCTGCATGTCCTGTCTGCTTAGCCTCCAGCTACCCTGCTGGGAGCCAGGAAGGGCAGAGCATGGCCAACTGGCCAGGTTTCTCCTGTGACAGCTGTCATTCTTTGTGCTTGCCTGGGGTGTGGCTGTTACTTATGCCTGCTGAAATGCTCTTCGTGTTTTTATAGAATCACAGAATAGTTTAGGTTGGGAGGGACCTTTAAAGGTTATCTAGTTCCAAACCTCCTGCCATAAGCAGGGATAACTTCAACTAGATCACATTGCTAAGAGTCCCATTCAACCTGACCCGAATGTTTCCAGGGATTGGGCATCCACCTCTCTGGGCAACCTGTTAGCTCCAGTGTTTCAACACCTTCATCATGAGTATTTCTTCCTCATACCATTACCCTTCGTCCTATCACCACAGGCCCTACTAAAAAATCTGTCCCCATCTTTCTTGTAAGTCCCCTTTAGGTACTGGAAGGCCACAGCAAAGGCCCTGGAGTGTTCTCCTTTCCAGGCTGAACAACCCCAGCTCACTCAGCCTGTCTTCATAGCAGAGGTGCTCCAGCCCTCTGATCATCTTTTTGGCCCTTCTCTGGACTCCCTCCAATGCCTTTCCTGTGCTAAGGACTCCAGAGCTGGATGCAGTACTCCAGGTGGGGTCTCACCAGAGAAGAGTAGAGGAACAGAATCACCACTCTTGAGGTGATTTTTTTGCAGCAATGAGCATTTGCCCTTTGTGCAAATAGGGACAACACCAATAGCTTGGTCATTCTTCTGGCTTCAATGGGGCTCTGTAGGGATTTGGCCCGTGGATATGCTCTATTACATGGTATCCTAAGAGCTGCCATTCCACTGGCATCTACTGGGTGCGTGTGAATATTTCAGAAGCAGCAGTCCATCTGTGTGCACACGTGGCTAACTGGTGCAGCTATATGGCCATCAGCTGAAGGTCTGCGACATTGACCTTGCATTAGGCTTGGATTTCAAGAGCTCATTTGACTGCCAGGTGTCATGGCATGTGGTGGGTGCAAGGCCAGCCCACTCTGCTCATGGGGAGGGATACGTGGGAGGTGCCAAGCACCACCGCCACATGGATTTTCTCAAGGCAAGAGAAATCTTCTCCTGGCCCAACAAACCTGCCACAGAACTATACTCCAGTCTCATTGTACAAAGTTGTTCTTGTATAGGCAGATCAAGACCATAGCCTCCTTGTGTGTTGCTGTGGTCTGAGCTTTTCAGTTCACATGAGCCATTAGTTTCTTTCTGGCTCCCCTTTGACAGGCATTTAGAGACATGTTGTGGCCCTTTTCCCAAGAGATTGTTCTCCTCCTAAATACGCCTCGCTAAAATCTAAAAAGCCAGATGGGCCAAGGTTTTATTAGAAGTACTGACTATCAGATGAGATCTGAGAAAGTGGATTGACTTAATAATGGAATGAAAATCTTGTTTATTAAAAAAAAATCAGTTTACAAAATGGAGACTGGGGAACAGGGAGGGAGGGGAGGATTAAGTTTAGAACTTAATTCCTCCACACTCAACAGCTTCATTTACAGGAAGAATACAACAAATCTCTTATTTTTGCAGCACAAGGGTTTTATACAGGTAAACATGTTGAGAATGTTGCCTGTAGTGTTTGCCCAGCTAGACCATAAAGAATTCCTGTGAGCAGGGGGGATCTAGTGCCATTGCACAGTCCCAGCAAGTTCTGCTTTCCTCCTTCCTCTATCTGCCCTGGTGCCAGGGAGGGAGACCGCTAGAGTTGTACTATTCCTCTGAAACCGTCCACCAGTTTTGTTCTGAGTATAGACACAGTGGTCTTCCATTTTGCAGTTACAGAAACAAGAATATCCTGTTGAGCTTTCTCATTTTCCTCCCTTTCCCACTGCCACTGCTTGGTATGGCTGTAGGGAATATAAATGGAACAGGAAATTTGACCACGTCCAGGATCAATGTCATTAAAGACACATCTTGTTTTAAAATCTAATTTTATATAACTGCTCTGTTATATAATATGCTTTTGTTTGTTGTCTTGATTTTTATCGAGGTAGTGTACATTCCCCTGGACCTTTTCATGAAGGAATGTTTATACCTGTGGGCAAGCACTAATGGCAGTGAAAGGCTTGCATTCATGGGAACAGCATTTAGCAATTCATGGTTGCCAAGGTAAGCAACAAAGGCATGCCCTCTGCCACTCCACTGCCTCTAAAAGAAACAGTCTCTAAGGTAACAGGCTAGAACCCCTTGAGGCCAAAAATCTTTAGCTTTTTAGACAGAAAAACACATTAAATAATACCAAGAAAAGCATTTTTTTTGCCCAGGAATTTTTTCTTCACAACAGAGGAGGGGCTCAAAGTGTTCTATTTTTGCTTCTGTGCAGGAATTTAATTCAAATGTTGCCCAGTGCTTTGTGCACTCAACACCCCTTTGACAGTTTGGTTTCGGGGGCACATAGAACTAATGAGCCAAGGCATGACTGCAGTTGAGGGCTGGCGCCTCCCAGGCCTGTGACTGTTGTTCAAGTGAATAGGCAATTTCCCTGATTAGCTTGGAATTTGCAGCATTATCTGGATGGTTATTTGGCATGAGCCATTTTTTCAGGATCACAGTCAATTTGGGAGATGGAGTCACCTGAAGAAAAGGTCTGCAGAGGCAGCAGTTTTTAGATGCTGCTTGTGATGGGATGGGAGAATGAGCTTCTCTTCTTGACTTAATCTTGCTCTGCAGCTACTTGCCAATCTCTTTTATCTTACTGTAGCAAGAAGGGAGGAGTAGGTGAGTCATTGCATTTTCCCGGTGCAACATTTTAACTGGGAGAAGGAACGAACGGGAGAGGACTGTTTTTAAAACTGAAGTCTAACAAAAGTGAAATGCAACAGACAGTTCACCTTTCTGCTAATGTAATGCATCAGAGACCTATTGTGTGCAGAAGAGAACTTGTCCATTCAGGACATTCATATGACTCTAACATCAGTTCAATTTGCTGGATGTGGGGAAAAGCAAAAGAAGCATATTCTGGAGTACTTTTTTTCTAAATGGCTCAAGTTATTACAATTGCTTGACAATTATAAAGTGGCAATTCATGGACTGCAGTGGAGTAATACAGGACCTGCTGGATGTAATATGTCTTTTTACACCTGGTGCAGTTCCTGCAGTTCCTAGAGTTGGAACAAAGGTCTTAGAGCTCTTCATGAGAGGGGAAATGCCTCCTAGAACCCTTTTGCAACTTGTTGCAGACTTAATGCTGATATTAATATGTTTTTACTCAGAACTGAGGCAGACTTATAATCAGACCTAGTCATACCTTCAGGTGTTCAACACATGCCTCACATTTCAGTGAGTCTGTTATGCAAGAGAAGTCCTGCTCCAATTGAGACACAGATCGACTGGTGCTAAATAAAGAAGAAGCAATTTGGTATTTGTTCATTACACATCTTGCTCTTTATTCACATCTCAGTGCACAAAAGGAATTAAATGTCACTTAAAGTAGGATGGAGACGTGTTGCTGTCTGTGAGAAATGGCCTGTCTTCCGAGGCACAGTCTGCAGGCACCTGAGCAGCCAACACAAAACATCCTCACTCTGCCTCAGTTCTAGTGTTTTTGCTGGCTTGTCTTGACATAATGACCTCTTTCTGCTGTTTTGTTAGCTAAGAAACCTGTGCCTAAGTCCAGTGGGACTACACGTTGTAAGCAATAGCTTAGTTTGCTAAGCACACATGCCCACAGCACTAAGTTGGGCAGTCATAGACACTTCCAGCTGAAATACGACGAAGTTGTGAAATGAGTCTGGTCAGGAAAACAAAAGCACTGAATCTCTAAATTCTTGCATATTCTCAGGAACATCCCTATAGACTTGGCTGAAACATTTCAGAAATGTTCATCATGAGAAAGATATGCCATAGGCAAAAGTTCAATTTGGTACACTTTTGACTAAATACAATAAGTTTTTGAAAGGTGATGTTTAAAACAACAGTAGTAATAGGGAGCAGTATTAGATTTATGTATGAACTAGCAAATATAAGAAATAAGAATTGATTTATAAAAAACAGCTTTTCAGAATGCTGGCTTCAGTTAACTTCCTTGAACTGAGTGTTGATATTTTTGTTGACTCCACAAAATAGGTTAACATCGGACCTCCGCTCTGTATCTATAATTAGAAAGTATTATTTTATGTCTAAGCTATCATTATTAGCTGAACAGTCTGAACTCTTTTTTTTTCCCCAAAGAACCATTATAATGTTACTGTGAAAATGCAGAACTTTTGGAAAATTAAAATAAAAACTGATTGCTCATACTTTGACAATGTGGTTTGTAAAGACTGTTATTCAACAGCTATAGAATACTTGCATCTCCATGTTAGAAAGATGAAAATATGTAACTACCATTTGCTTACCAGCTCTTAACTGCAGCTGGAAAATCTATTAGTTTCATCTGACTTAATTACCATCACATTTGTCTTTCTCTCCAATCTGTATTTTTTATCTGTACTTTTGCAGATCCTAATGCACAATGCACACATGCATTTATATAGCATTTCTATTCCAAAATACACATAACCTGACATCTTATGGGCTGATCTAAAATTCAACAAAGTCATTAGAAAGACTGCTAGCTAAGCATCACTCTATCCCCATGATGGTTTGAGCAGGACTTTTCCTCATAATATATTCCCTAAAATTCAGTAGCTACTCCCAGAATAGGTACAGGGACTGCATTAATGAGATTTTATTTTCACATTCAGGTTTTATTCTACCATTTAGCAAAAAGTTGACTGATGATGAGATTTCAAACAGTCACTGTATTATACAGCAGATGCATATTGAAGTTTTTAGAATATTCTTCCTATAACATTTAAAGTGAACTAGCAACCAAATATTTTTGTCTCAAAATGTTGGCAACTTCACTTTAGTTTCAGACACATGTTGGAGAGCCTAGGCTCCTATTTAGACCTTATCTGAATAAGTCAAATGTCTTGATAATGCAAAATTGGAGAGGAAGTGATTTGAATATAAGAATTTTTTGACAGATTTCCCATATTTCTGATCCCAGTTGGCATTACTGCACTTAAGCTTTTATTTTGTAATGTTGGCATTTATTTCCATGTCTATCCCAGATCTAAAAGCACGAAATTCAAAACATTTGTAAAAAAAGACCAATCTAACATTTCAGGAAGCAAGGCAAACTTTGGGCAGTACTGATGATAAGAATAGGCAAAGATGTTTTATTTCAGTTCAACTGCTTTGCCCATCTTCACCTTAGCATTCACCAGGAAACCTCAAGATATTAAAATGCAGATCTGTTAGATGAATGAAGACAAATGTAGTGATGCCTAATGGTATATGTATTGGTGAAAGGAAAATAATTGTGAACTGTGTTATCAAGGATAAATTAATTGTATTTGCTAGAGAGTAGTAGAAATTCATGAAGAAGGAGAGGAGCTCTTCTGTCAGAACAATGTATTTATGGCTACACAGAGTTCTATCTTCTGAAATGTTTCTCTGAAAATGCTGGTATGGGCCATGGTTTTCGTCTCCTTCTGGCTTAAAAAAGTTTAATGCATTTACAGGTAAAATATTGTTTTTCTTTCAGTCCCATGGGTCATGTGTATGGTTGATAAGTAGAAGCTAGTAATCTTATCCCCGTGCACTGTTTGTGCACTTACCCAACCACAAATAACATACCTTGTTGTTAAAAATGATTGTCACCTTGTGGTGCTTTCCTGATATTTCGGCTTCTCCAGATCTACCCAGGTTTCTACATTAATGTCTTACTGCAACTGGAGCTGGTTTAGAGGTGATGATACATGAACCAGGAAGAACTTTTCAAACCAAGAAACAACTCAGTGACCTGACAGCTAAAACCACCAGAATCCTTTTGCATTTAAACTGAGGAAAAGTGATGGGAAGTCACTGACAAACAGTAAATGTGAATGACTTTTAAATGCCAACCTAGATTTAAATGGTGCTTTGGCGATATACAAAAAACTATTTATTTTGAGACTTAGGGGGACTTCTGCAGAGGTGAAAATTGTAATGTTTACATAATCTATAAATAAAACAGTGTAGAAACCCAAATCCCACCTGGACTCACAAGTCAAAAAGGAGTAGGAATAAACAACATCATTAATACATGGATTGGCTGATTTTTTTTTTGCCTTGGTAAACAGTGAAGTCATTGATGTAAAATGTATCTGCAGATATGTATAAACATGCAAAGTACAGAGAACATGAAAGTGTTTATCAAGTTCCTTTTCTCAAAATACTACTAACAGGAAGCAGTCAAAGATTTCACAGAAAGGAATCAGTTTCTTGGATTTATAGGTAATGCTTTTTAAGAGTGAGTTAGGTCCTAGAAAGACACAAGAACGCTCAGAGATATCTAGAGATAAAATTAATTGTAAAATACAGTCTTATTCAGACAGAAACAGAGCCTGATACTATGTGTATGAAATTGTCCACATGTACATGTGTATTCTTGCATGCTCACCCAAAACAAAAAAAAGTGACCTTATTATTATATGCAGTAGAAAGACAACTCTTGATAAATTTGGGTTGAAAAATATCAACCTCAAGTGTTTGAGGAGGCAGAGGGAATTACATGCTTTGGTTCTTAAAATTCCTCAGGATTATTTTTTTGACAGTTCAACCAAAATTAATGGAAATGCCTCTTGGTCCTTTGGATTCAAAGCAAAAATCACTTTCTTTTCCCCAGAATCTACTACCTATAAAAATGTTTCCATTTCTAATCTTCAAAGTAAATTGCAACCAATAAAGAGGTTATGCAAAAAGTTTCGTTAGGTTTATCTCCATAGACATAGGATTAACAAAAGTTTATTTTTCTTGTGGACATCTTAGAGTCTTTATACTAATAGTCTAAAACTAATTCTTTCTTTTTTGTGAAATACACTAGTGAGGGAATCAACAGACATACAAATATAGCAAGATTTGGAAAATGAAGATAATTTTAGTACAGTTAAAAAGGTTTGCTCTGGGATTTGAGAAAGCTGAAGTGAATGACCTGGAATCATTAAAAGTTGTTTACACTTTCCACAACGTTGGAAGAAAAGAATAAAATGCATTTTAAAAGTTACACATGATTCTCATTAAGTGCCTGCAGAACTCAGGCATTCCATTTCTGCCTAACTCAGAAACAGAAATGTAAACTGTGTCTTCCTCTATACAGTATATATAAGACTGAAGATGACTTCCAGTCACTGAGAGCTGTGCAGAATGAGAACAGACTTCTGTTTCCTACTGGTATTATGTAGTCAACTTGAAGGAGGGCATACTGAGAAGGTTTTGGAAAGGTGTATTTTGTTTTTCAGTGGACCGCTAGAGCTCAGGTTGGTTAGATAAGAGACATAAATCCTGTCTAATCTGTGAATCCTGGCTCACAGCCTGCCACCTCCAGGATCTAAGTTTATGCATGCAAGGGAATTGCTACATTTGCAGTCTTTTATAAAAATGGATGTAAAGACACTGTTTCTTAGGCTAATACCAGCAGAATACAGAAGATGATGACAAAGTCTCTAATTAGCTTGGAAGTTTACGAAGTTTTTGCTAGGTTTTTTACATCCTTATCAGTAAGTTTTCTAATATCAGCAAGGAAAATTCATAACCACTGACTAAGGATTTTAGTTTCCTAGGCTTTATCAGCAAACACCCACTCTTGTGTACGTGTTTAGGCTTTACACCTTAGCTGGTGATAAGTGACTTCCAAAAGCCCTATGTGACTGTCTGCTTCCACTTGCATTACAGTCAGGGAAAACTTACCTTCAGTTTTATTGTGCCCTGTACAAGGTCCTTGTTCCGGATTTAAGGGATCTCCAGTAACCTCTTTTTGGGCACTGTTTCTCCAAATAATTTTTTTCACAAACCTCCAGTGACTTCCTTATGAAATGTGTGCTTTGACACAGATCAAGCAAATGTGGAAATTAATGGGACTGTTACTACTAACTTTGCTGAGAACAGAGTCAGACACTTGAGGTTTTGAAAGTGTCAGGCCAAAACTAGAGAGGCTCAGACAGCCGAAGGCCTGTCAGAACATTGCTCCTGGGCTCTCAACTCCCTCTTACTGGTGCAGGTAGCTAGACTTGCTTGCACAATAGTGACCAAGATTGGAATGACCCTACGAGGATTAAACAAAATTGAAGGAGATCTTTGTTACACCAAATTGTGATCAGCTTTTTTTTTTCTTTGAATATGGACAAAAAAGTTATGAAAAAAGCCCACTAATTTTCATTTTTGCATTGGTAAGAGGGAATGGAACACATTCTGAACCATCCAACCTTTTGGAAGCTTTCAGAAATCATGCAGAGCCCCTCAGCAGACAGGGATGTGCTCAGCTGTCATTAGCATGAACACTTGTGGCTAATTAGGAAGAAGAGTTGAGAGAGCTAGGGTTTAGTTTGAAATGCCAGAGACTGTGGATATGTCCATACTGTAACTCAGGTATTCAACCTGTTCTCAGGCTCTGGACCTCTATTCATTTTCTTCCATGGATATCAGATTCCTGGGCTGCCCTTTGGAATAAATCTAGTCTTCCCTGAGATGAAATCCACTAATTATTTGGGGGACAATTTATTTCCAGAAAACACTAGTTCAGCTTCTTCAGTGCTATGCAGTTTTTCTATGTTTTTCTAGCAAATTCATGCTCTCGGGTACCCTCACACGGACTCATACCATGCTCCATGGTGTGTATTAATTTGACATCATGCTATAAAAACACTTCTGCAGCAGTCTGAGATGTTCTGAAAGGTCACAACATAAAATAATTATGTTTTAAGTCCTTGGGGGCTTCCCATGGACTCCAGAGGTGACAGTAGGTGAGGTGCTCTACAGCATAGCCCTGAGCGGTATGGATGCAAGCCACCCCATGCCATTTGGTGTAGGATCACTCACAGGGCAGAAGTCTGTAGTAATGTGGCTGTAGTTGGTGCTAGAGAGATAAAATTGAGAGCTCCTAAAACAGGAAGGAAACATAGGTTTTCTTAAGGATTCTCAGAAGAATGAGCAAGATCTAAGGAGAGAAAATATTTACAGTCTATTCAGACAATAAAAGGGATGATGGATGAAAAGCACATTAGTTGGATAAAGGAAGCTCATTCTACTTCTGCCAATTCTTCATTGTAATATGCCTCAGCCAGGCCCCAAATAGTGATTTGATCTACCATAATTCCTGCATTCAGTTACCAGTGAAATATATTTATTGCTGGTGGTTAGCAGTCAGCCTTTGAAATGGTGCACTAAGTGCCTCATTTTTATATTATTTAGTCAGAGAAAGTAATAATTTAACTTTGTTTTGCAAGTATTCTGACAGACCAAGGAAGTCTCTATTTTGCTGTTCAGAGGTTGGGTGAGTCCCTTGCAGAACATTTGGCATCCAAACACTGAGAGTTAAATGCACCATCTTTTCTCTTTGAGCAGGGTGATATGCATTGATGACTCAGCCCTCCTTCCTTCTCACATCCCAAATCCCTGAAGAGAGGCAGAACAGTTCCTCAAACAAGCATGAGGCTTCGCTTCAGAGACACTGTAGCAAGGATTGTGCCGTTCTGGCAGAAATGAGGAACAATTTTTTTTTCTGTTCTTGAACCTTCTCTTCAGAAAAAGACATGGACTGGGGAGGTGAAAGATCTCAAATTCTAGACCCACTGTGGCCGACAAACAGCAGAGCCTCCTCAGAGTGCCGCCATCTGGGATATGCCATCAACTCTAGGAAGCAACCACTCGCAGATCTATGGGAAAAGGTGCAACAAATGCAACAGTCTTTTTTAAGTATTTCTGCTTCCCAGAGAGATTTGACAATCCTGCCTCAGCGCCAGCCAGGGTGTGGTGGGCAGTCTGGCCAGGAATACTGGCAGAAATGCGGGCGATGCCAAGTGAAATCTCTTCAGTCCCATGCTTGGCCTTCTACCAACCCGTACGGAAGCGGTGCGGTGCGGCGGTCCGTGAGAGCTCATTGCAACAGTGATTTCCTCTGGAAGTAATGGTGCTCGGCAGCCTGTCTCTCCCAGCCACCTAGTCTTGGAGGAACAGGGATTGGTTTGCGCTGACTTCTCCGGCTTTCTTAGCGATGGAGGTATAAGGAAGTGAAGAATCTTTTGCACATACAGAAGAAATTATATGTGTTTGTGCTAAACTTTAATCTGAGGCTATTAACATAAACCAATTGACCTCCATAGGAAGGGCAGTGGTATTTTTACATCACTTCACCCCCAGGTCGGGCTTCTTCTTGGTACATTCCCTCCACTTAATAGCTAGGATTTTTTTTTTTTTTGAATATTGAAATACTGAAATGCTGGGACAGCAAAAATCAAAAAACGAAAATACCTCAAACTATTCTAAGGGCTGTTGTAGTCTTAAAAATTTAAGTAGTAAACAAAAGTTGCCTGGCTGTTCTCTTTAGCTGTGATAGACATGTATAGTTATGAACACAATGGCTTTTGTTAGCCATCGCTTTACTTCCACAGCAAAAAAATCATCGATTTACTAAGAGGCTGGTTGAAACAATAACCCTAAACTAATGAAAATAAAAAACAGTTCTACAAGCACTCCTTGGTTTTGTTTTAATTGTAGAAATTTTAATTTATATGCACAATTTTATTTTAAAATGTTCTTGTTCAGAAAGGTTTTTCTTCCAGTTCCCTTGCAGAGTTCATGCATAAATATGTGTATTAGGTACACCAAAGATCTGTGTACTGGTCTTATTTTTACTTTTTTTAATTTTGTTTTGTTTTGTTTTACTTCACGTAATTTTATTTAGCTCCTCATGATTCTACATACAAGTAGTTCCAAAGTGAGAAAAATTGCTGAGATGGGTATCTCTTGACAAAAGTAAACAGAGTTAAAACATGCATAACTTCATTCAATAATCATGGGACACTCTACACTGCCACAGCTTTCCTTGTGCCCTCTTCCTCACCTTTCTTCAGCATATACTATGGCACATCCTGAAAGAGAAGTCTCCCACCACCACTCCCTTGATATTGATATAAAGGCAGCTTCACATCCACCCAGATTCTTCCCTTTCCTCAGTAACCATGAAAACACAACATCCATCTTTCCCTCTCTCTCCCTGTGTCTTTGGACTTCAAGCCAGGTAAGAGTATGAACTATAAATTGAAGTGAATTATACAGCTGGGTAAATAAAGTGGGACGAAAGGGAGAAAAAGGGAAATGTGTTTCCTATCATAGAGTTTAAAAAACAGACTTGGCACACAAGGGGAAAAAACACAACAGGAAACAAGTTTCTACATATAAATTAAACTTTTTCACCCTCAAACTTTTTAGATAGCCCAGGAGTAATAAGTACGTGTGTTTCTTGGACCGGCAAAGCAAGCATTCCAACATTAAATGGCTTCCTGTTCAACACGTTCAAAGCCAGAGACTGTTTTTGGGGGTTGGTTAGAAATATGTGTGAAGTATGTACTTTTAGTTCAGGCCAAATCAAATGTTTTTAATCCCCACCCCCCGCCAAAAAGAATAAGAAAGTCAAGTCAAAAAATTAAAATATGACCAGCTTTCTTTTTCGTTGAGGAAGTCCAGTGATTAGCCTTCAGTTAATCTGTAAATATTCTCACTTCCCAGTAAAGATACTTTAAAGGGAATGTCATTCTGCATTGGCATTTGACACTGTTGAACTGTAATGAGTAGATTCATACAAGAGCTCAAGAACTTGGTCCCATTCAAAGACATGAAAACAGGGAGTATTTGAGGGTGCAAAGTGTGTTACAGCATTTTCCCCCATTAGTGTCAAACCTATAATTTACCAGTTGTTGATCAGTTTTCTTCTACCACATGAGCCTCAAATGTTATTTGGTACTACGTGTTCTTTGCCAATAGATCTCTGGGTTTTTGTTTGTGGTTGTTTTTTTTTTTTTAGGTTTACATGGCCAAGAGTCAAAATAAAACACATGGGAAAAAATCATGGAGCACCATATGCCATGGATGTGCCAAGGTGAGGAATTTTTCTAGTTCCTCACTGAAGCCACAGGATACTTTTTGGGAAAAAAAAAATAAAAAAAAAATCAGAAAAGTGCACCTTTTTTTTTCCCCTTCTTTTTTTTTTTTTTCCAGCTAGTGGGCAATAGATGCATCTAACTAACCTAGACTTCAATTTGTCTCTTTCTATACTTTCACTAATTACTACTTCTAGTAACATATTTTCTCCCAGCTCCAAGGAAACAGAAGCCTTTTGAGTGGTAGCCAACTACTTTCTTTTAGTATTTTTCTCATTCCAGTGTTTTTGAGCAAATTCAGGGTCTAAACACTGTTCTGTTTCAATATTTGAAGAATGCTATGTACTGAGCACAATCCTAGATGGTATGTTGTTGTGAGACATTGGTCTTGTCTGTTGCTGTTACGCCACCTCAAATGAACTGAACTGCATACTTTTTTCGTTATTTCTACCTAATTTTTACAAAAAAAGCAACCAAAGAAAAAACACCGCATCAAACCTTCCCCCCCCCCCCATTGCCAGACCCTTATAAACATTTACTTTGGGGTTTTGACTTGATGGAAATACATCCTAGGCAGACTTCTGGGTCTCCAGTCTCACCTAAATTAGTAAAATTCAATCTGTGCTGATTTGCACCAGAATAAGCCAAGATTTCGTCTTGGGCCAGCCAAATATAATACTCTTCTCAGAAGTACTGCTGAAGATGGAACTAACAAAGTTACTGGAAGTTAATGAATACTAGATAGACTCCACTGATGACTCATCCCTGGACCTCCACGTATTTCAATATCGTGTCATACTTGATATCCAGAGCTATTGCTGGAGGTGGGGTCGCAGCAGGAGAAATGACCAGAGAAGGAAAGGTTTCCCTTTTTGAATATCCAACTTTCCCAAGAAGAGTCATGAGAGTTCAGTTTCTAGTGCTTCTGTGGCCGATGCTCATTGAGGCACTTCTGCCACCTTCCTGGAGCACTTAAATTCAATTTCAGTTCAACTCCATGTCCACATTGTCTTCTACCCTTTAGACTTCTTCCTTCCTGCAGGCCCATCCGAAATAAAATCACAATCTTTGTTTGCTATGTCTGAATGCTGTAACATCCTTTCCGCTGACCTTCACCATTAGTCCTTTGGATTTTCTGTTCTAGCTCCTTCACATCTAATATCATATTTCTATGTATCAGTTATTTTCCTGGTGTGTTAAATAATTCGTTAATAAACTAATATGTATTCTCAGGAAGGGGAATAGGTTTAGGTATGTCCCAGGGAAACATCAGGGTCCAAACTTTCTGTAGAGTCACGTTGGCAAAACTTCAGGCTCACAGCAATAATCACTATCAACAGGTTAAAAACCCAAGGTCATACACTCTGGTATAATCAATCTGTTTCTTGTACCTTAGTTCGTTCTTCTAAAATTGACTTTTGAAACACATCCTCTCACTTGCAACTAGGGAAAAGAGTGATCTGCAAAACGCTGTGAAGATGCACATGAATTCTATGTGTGAGTTATAACAGTTACTCCTGGGTTCCCATCACGCATACTTTTGAGGAAAGGCAAAAATAGAGCATGATAAAAAGACCAAATGAAAGATAGAGAAGGAGAGAGAGAGAGAATAAAGGAGAAAAGAAAAAAAAAGAGAAAGAGAAGGAAAAAGAGAGAGAGAGAAAGAGAGAAAGAAAGAGAAAGAAAGAGAGAGAAGATAGAAAGAAAGAAAGAAAAAAAAAGAAAAAAAGAAAAAGAAAGAAAGATGGTTGAGAACAGAGATCCAACTAAAAATGGAAATGAAAACCAATGCTAAAGAAAGATTTCAGGGAGAATTTGTGGTACTTTAAATCCCTCTTTCTTTTGCCAGGTAGAGAAATCCTAGTCCTGTTACATGATTCTAACATCTTTCCAACTGCTTTCAGTGAATCACTGCCATTACCAATATGGGCAGAAATTTACTTTATCAGCTTCCCAGACACTGAATACAGTGTTGGCAGAGCTGACAGTTATTAACTCAGTGAGTCAGATAGGGTGGGTTTTTTTTATCTCCAAATCTCACAGGAGCAGCTCCAGCCATGTTACCACTGCAGCTGCTGCTGAAACCTGGCCAGCCAGTGTGCTAAGACTGGGACTGCTGATGATTGGTACTGCAAGACTTGAGTGGTAAGCTGTCAGTATAACAATACATAGTTGCAGGCATTATTATCTAAGTTAATAACCTTTTTCAGTCTCTCAAAGCTCTGTCAATTAAGCTTTTTACCTGAGACATTATTTACTGTGGAAAATTTCACGTTTAATTATTTTTTCTTCCTTGGTTCTAACATACACCCCTTTCAGATACAGCTGCTTAAACAAAGTGTTATTTGTGTTGTGGAAGCAAAGTCCATACATCTGCTCTTTACATAATGGGAATATGTATTGTTCCTTGGCAGGAAAGACTGGGTTTTTTTCCTGTATCTCTTCTAAAGAAATAGCTAGGGCTGAAGGTGATCATGATAGAAGAGAGCAAGGAAGACACTCTGCACTCCGTAGAAAGACGGTCATGAAAGCAATCAGAAGATGCTCTAAAGCGGTCCTGTGGGCTGTGGAGTCATTATATAATTGACTTCTGCCAAATGGAACCAGTGGATGAAGTGGCAGCCAGAGTCTCAAGTTGCTCTTCAAGAGACATCAGACTTTGTTTTCTCTGATTTTTCCGTTCTTTTCTGCTTTCAGTGTTCCATCCTCTGAATCATTTAAGAAGTCCAAATTTCAAAACCAGGTACTCACTGAGAAAGTCAGGCTATGCTGATCTACAGTTAGAAACTGCAGCCATTTCTTCCAGATGAATGCATCACTCTGTGCTTGTCTTGTCCTTGTACTTTTTGTCAGTCCCAGTTGGCCACAGGGCAAGGAAGAATGCTAAGGAGATGAGTATATCGACCTCTCCTTATGAACAAACCTACCCACCAAGTCCACTCTATCTCTACTACCATACTGCATTATTTTGAAGCAATCTCCTTTGAGCTACTCCAAAATATCAAACCTACAGGACTTATCTGTTTGAGAGTTTAGCAGAAGGGACTTTTGGTCTTTTTTCAACAGCACTTAGGTTCATTCCTTTGGTCTGTATCATTTCGATGAAGTTGCACTTCAGGGATATTGAGGACCAAAGGCTAGATTCATTAAGTGGTGTGGACAGTCCTGTTTACATAGCAATTGCTTTTTCAGCACAGTCACAACCATATTGACTTATCACATTTCTGCTGAACAACTAGATGGGTATCAATGCACTTCAGGGAGATCTGGGGTGCTGTCCCATACTGCCTTAATACAAGTTTCCAGCTATTTCCGGCTTACGAAAATCCCAGGGTCTTTTGCAGCTCACCAGATGAAAGACTGCAAGTCCTAACAGTGTGACTTCAGGTTTCCATGAGTGCTATGCTGCAAGAACAGCCAACAGGTAGGTCAGCAATGGACTAACAGGAAACAAATTGCAAGTTG